TCCCATTGTCAAGGGGTGCCTCTGCGGATGTGTATGCCTTAACTTAGCTATTTCAATGCTAAATTCTATGCTAATTCCTTTTAACAATGGGTGCCTCTGCGGATGTGTATGCTTTACCTTTTAACATAGCTATTTCTGTGACCAGTCACAAGCTAATCATTCAGCCATTTAAATGCTAAATTTTATGCTAATTCCTTTGTCAAGGCTCTTTGTTCCTCTCACACAGCTTAAAAGCCGTGATCTGAACGTGGCTCTCTCACTCCAGCGCTGTCCTACCAGACAGTCTCGCTCCCTTCACCTGATGAAGGCCGCTTGTGTTGTGGCCGAAACGTCGTGAGAATATTATTGTGTTATTTTATTTTATCAATTTATTATTTTATTCTCATTCTACGTGACTTTACCGAAAGAACCAAAGAAGATGAATCATTGCAGTCACGAAAGCTTTAAATCGAAATTTAACCGCCTCTACGGGGAGGGATTCCACACATCCTTAAGATCATTCAACAGACTTCGGGATAAGAAGGCTCAACTAATCGAGTCTCTCACCTTTCTGAAGAGATGCCGCGACTCTAAGGTAATACCAACCGCATTTACACTAACCTCTGCTGTTGCAACTTCTCTCAATGCAAAACGAATTCTAGCTAGAACTAGCTTCGCTCTTATCTCGGAAAAAATCAGACTTACACGCACCGAACTCGATCAGTTAGACAAGACACTCTACAAATCACACTTAAAATTGACAGCAACAATGTCTACATCGGATTGGGAACATGTAGACAATATGACTACCTCTTCGGCTGCCACTATGTCGAACAAATGTAGGGACAATTTGATTTCCAAATTCAATCACCTCTCCAGCAAAAAATCGGATCCACACACCGAAAAGATAGACGTCAACAAAGTCGTAATTAATCGCAGTAACAGTTCAATTTCTGATGGTCTGAAATCCGTTTTAGCTAAAGGTCTAAACTTTGCTGTCACACCGAGACACTTACCGGTTAATGATATCATTGCCCATGTCGACGTTGCACTCAAGGGCTTGAGTCACATCTCTGCAGACGTAGCAAGATCTGAAATCGCTGCAACCCTCAAAAACGCTAAGTTGCCACCTAGCAACATCAGCAAAGACGAACGTTTTGAATTATCTCAATTAAAAAAGAGGGATGATATTGTCGTTCTCTCAGCCGACAAAGGCAATGCCACTGTCATCATGGACAAAACAGAATATAACAAAATTCAAGAACTACTCAACGATGGCAGCTATACAAAAATAAAAAGAGATCCCACCAACAGCCTGGACACCAAAACGAACAAAATTATCTCTGATTCAACAGCATTAATTGATGAGATCAAACAGTTCTCGTTGAAACCCTCTGCTGCCAGACCACCAAGATTATATGGCCTTCCAAAGATACACAAAGAAGATACACCCCTTCGTCCCATCGTCTCTACTATCAGCTCCCCCACCTACAAACTGGCACGTTTTCTGGCTGATATACTGCGACCTTTCACTGGAAAAACCACCTCTGCGGTACTAAATTCTAC